CCTCTCCGCTTCTTCCAACCAGTCCCAGAGTCGGGAAATAATGCACGACGTGGAATTATCTGAGACGACATTCGTAGAACATGTCCAAGCCACCGAAGTCGGTGTTTCAAGATGGTGACACAAATTCAATTATCATCTCTGTGCCTGAACACACGATGCCGAACCTCTGCATTACTAACATGGTGTTGCCACTGGATGTCAGCGATCCTTCGGAGACAGCGATGATCGAACACACAGAGTCGTCTAACATCCTCAACTCGGAGAGGCCAGGTTTCACAAGCATAGAGCAAAGTTGCTCTCACCAACGTGTTGTAGATCCGACCTTTTACAGCCAGACTAATATCACGAAGGCGCCAAAGGTGGTCCAGATTGGTATAAGCCGCTCTGACTTCCACTATACGTGCATTGATCTCATCACTCACACCACCATCAGCACTTATGCAGCTACCCAGATACACGAACTTCTCGACTACGTCTATCTACTCATCATCCAGGGTGAGTACAGGATTGGAATCCTGTCAGTCTTGTAGAAGTACTTTGAACTTAGAAGGTGCAAAGCAGATACCATACCGACGGACACTGATTGCCAACTGATTAAGTGCGGATTGCATGCCTTGGGCATTATCGCACAGTAAGACAATATCGTCCACATACTCAAGGTCGAGAAGTCTTTCTCCAGGCAACAGATCCACACCACCATTACTTACATTCATCAGAGCTGTTTCCAGAATGTCATCGATGGCAAAGTTGAAGAGGAATGGTGAGATTGGGCAACCCTGCCTAACCCCACTACTCGAATGGAACAATGGAGAAAGGTGGTTGTATGCCTTCACTCTGCCTGAGGTGTTTTTATATAGGGCTTTTAGGATGTTAATAAACTTCTCAGGCACACCCTTCTTCAATAGACAATCCCAGAGAACAGTCCTGTCCAACGAATCAAAGGCAGCCCTAATGTCAAGAAACACTACGATTGTTGGCCTTTGATAAGTATGACGGTGTTCTAACATTTGGCGGAGGGTGAAGATATGATCAATGCATCTTCGACCGGAATGAAAACCAGCCTGCTCCTCGTTGGTCAATCTTTCTCGGGTTTTGAACAATCTACGAAGTATGACGGAAGCCAATAGTCTGGACGCCGGTCACGGAGGGCAGGATAATCTGACCGATGTTGTCGGAGCAGCAGGCCAGTTGAACTGCCCTTCGAAAAATTCTGCCCATCGTACAAGTAGTCGATGGATGTTAGTGAAGAGTTTCATACTAGGACGAAATGCCTGTTCAGTACTTCTAGCTTTTTAATAATGGCCTAGTTTAGATCGACTCATAAATTCGACTAACAAGACATTACTTACTTAACTAATTAGTTAAGCCTGTTACTCCCAATGAAGTATAGGCCGTCGGCCAGCATTCTCCAACTCACTCTTTCATGGACCTTCCCCTCTAGTTCTATCCATTTTTTGTTTATTCTTTACATATTTGTCTCCATTTCTCGGCGTAATCTGTTCTTTCGTCTTCCTCTTCTTCTTCAGTCCTGAGGATTACAAGTGTGACACAGTTAAACGGTTTTATCAATATGTGTTCTATCCACCTTCAACTGCTCTTCCTCCAGTGGAACGTGGTTTGTTCGCTCCCACAGTAGGTTGTTGCTGATAGTGCTGATAGTAAACAATTGTTAATAAACACTTGTATCTTCTGGATAGCGGATTTCGTAGTTCTCCACGTTTCTGTCCCATACAGTAGAAATGTTTTGACATTTATGTTGAAAATTCTGAGTTTGGTGTTGCTTAACAGACAGTTGTTTTGGGTTCTAGATGTTCTTCGACTGTATATATTAAAAAATAGATATTATTAGATCCAGAACTTTAAAACCTACATTTTTTTAAGTGATTATATCATGCAAAGAAAAACAATTATTACTAATACTGTAATAAACAAGAACACGAGGAGGGACAATCAAATGTGTGTGACCACAAAGTGACAGAACATCTCACTAAAATCTGAGAATCATACAGTGAATACTTTATTTGCAACATATCAATCAACTGTCTCAAACTTGACTGTTCATTTTGCAAATATCAATCCATTGTCTCAGATTTCATTGTTCATTCATTTTCATATATCAATTGTATTCCGTTTCCGTTCTTTCCTTCTCAATCTTCTACTGAAATACACTCTATTTTTGATTATCACTGTATACTACTTATTTGGATATAAGTAGCTTACATTATAATACCACTTATGATTGGACATGACTATCATTTCTATTCTATTAACTTTATTAAAACATACAAATCTTAGTTTAGCTTTAAGTTAGTAAAGATTTAGTAACTAACAATAGAACCTAAGTTATAAAACATCATTCTATAAATGACTTGATAAACAATAAAACGGTATATATAATTGAAGATTGTCTCTTGTTTTGTTTCTGTTCTATTATTTAAACTACATCTATATATAAACAAAGAATAGAGAAGGTATTAGAAACATATTGATTTCCTTTCTGTCTTGATAGAAGTTTTAAGTAAGTCATTTTATCTCTTTTCATTGTATCTATGTGATTCTATTGTTGTGATGTATTATTATTATTATTAGTATTGTTTACTATCTAGTTCTATTGACTATAAGTAGTTCTATTCCACCATTATATGTATCCATCATATAAATATGCCATTTGTTATGATAAACTAGACATAATTTAAAAAGTTATTTTGATGATAAGTAGAAATCAGTCAGTTAGTCAGTCAATCAGTTAGCTACACTATAGAACCAAGCACATATATGCATTGATTCAAGTTGCCACACCTCATAAGCACAGCAAGATGAACACCAAATTCATACAAGTAGTTAATCCAATGGTAGTAATATATAAGAAAAAAGATTGTATATGAGGATATAATACAGGAAGAAAGAATCAGTTGGTAGAAAGAAAAATATAAAGCGATTTCAATCTCACAACTCAAGAGAAGACAGAGTGTATACACCTACTTCATAATGATCGATTCTTTGACATGTCATTCAGAGTTGAAAACCATTGGTTGTGATAGTCACACGGACTCCAACCAAATAATCTGTATCTACCAACATGGCTCAGACTAGAAGTTAGTGTTTTTGTGGAATGATGCCACGTTTCGCTTTAGCTGCCCATCACTTTCTTCTAGTCGTCTTCAATACTAGTCAGTATTGATGGGAGAACTGTTACATTCATGATTGATGTATATGTATCTATCTATATAATAACTTACTGATTTAGAATTGAATCAAATGAGACTATTATGAAGTCCTTACTCATCATCTTAGTTATTCTGTTTGTGTGAAATCCAGGACTCACGATTAGTCCTATTCGAGACTCGTCAAATGGGCGTATCTGCATCTCAGAGTTAACGTTCACTCCGCGTCTCGAACCTAGTACCGTTCGCTACAAACAACATCACGTTATCCACTTAGCTACTGAGTCCTCTTAGACACTTACTTGTGCAATAGGGTGAAGTTTAAATTCATTTAGTATTGTTTACTTGAATCCCTCCATTGATGTTTAGGACTGCAATTGATCGGTCTGTTATTGGCATATGTGCATCTTGTGCGTATTGCCTCGATATTGCTTAAATTCACAAGCATTGTAAGCAAAGATGGATTGTGACTAGCAGTGGAATCTAGGACACGCGTTTCATCATATTTGGGACTCATCAGCTGAATGTACCAGCTTCTCAGAATTGATGTTCACTCTGAGACTCGAACCCAGTACCGTTCGCTACAAACGTCAACACGTTATCCACTCAACTATTGAGTTTATCTTTGTTTATAATACTTGTGAATCAAGACAATATCGAGGCAATACTCACAGTATCTACATATGCCAATAAAAGACTGATCAAATGCAGTCGTAAACATCAATGGAAAGATCCAAATAAACAATACCAAGTGAATTATCATTTCATGTTGTAACTTCATCATTTGGTTCCAATGAGATTAATTACTCCATAATTACTGGTAATCAAATTTAGGGTAATTCATAGTGATGGGTGTTTTAGTAAATTGTATTTGTATATCACTTCAATTATATCGATAAGTGACATTCTCAATAGGCTCAATTGTGTGTATTCATTGAATAGATCATCAAATGGCCAGTGTACAATATGAGATTTTTATTTTAAAAGACTAATGGAGTAATTTATGACTTATGCATGATATCAAACAGTAAACAGTTTAATATTATAAGCAAAGATGGATAGTGGCTAATTAAGTGTCTTATAAAGATTGTTACTTCAGGCAATTTCGAGACAGTCCGTACATGATGCACATATGCCAATAAGAGAGAGACTGATCAATTGCAGTCCTAAACAACAATGGAAAGATACAAGTAAAACAACACCAAGTGAATACAATTTAATATTTGTTTGCTAATCTGTTTGAATAGTGAACATAAGTACATACAAATGATATTGTTTAATGAGTACGTCAGGAAGATAAAAACAATTGTCTTGATTTCTAACTTGAACTCATTTATATCACTTATTGTAAATAATGAACCATGAGAAGGTATCTTGTCATGATATATAAACTTCTTTCAAGATTTTTAATCTTTTCATTATGATAAATCAAAACTTTTTGAATGACAAGCTCCTGCTGATAAGAAACTTGGTTTTCACAAGGCGGCGTGCTTGAATATCTGGACTATCTGGACTGTTTAACATATCATTAGGCCTATTATCTTCATAACCTTTCAGGTGCGTCTGTGAAACGTTTACGACAGTTCACTGTACAACTTACAAAAGTGCTCAATCAGAGACATTGTGGTTGTTGGCAATATGCATCGAAAAGAATATACATTATTCAGATGTCGACCGACTGAACTGTTGACATCTAAATGGAAACCACTCAATATTTATCGTCAGGATCGATCAAGCAATAAGAAAAGGAAACTTGTTAACGTACTTTGTGCTCCGAATTCGATATCGTACCTAATACATAATCTTGAATAAAACTACTACCACTACTACTACTAGTACCACAACTACTATTACTACTACTAATACTACTAATACTACTACTACTAATACTACTACTACTACTACTACTACTACTACTACTACTACTACTACTACTACTACTACTACTACTACTACTACTACTACTACTACTACTACTACTACTACTACTACTGCTACTACTACCAACACTGCTACTACTACTACTACTACTACTACTACTACCACTACTACTACTAGTACCACAACTACTATTACTACTACTAATACTAATACTACTACTACTACTACTACTACTACTACTACTACTACTACTACTACTACTACTACTACTACTACTACTGCTACTAATACCAACACTGCTACTACTACTACTGCTACTACTACCAACACTGCTACTACTACTACTACTACTACTACTACTACTACTACTACTACTACTACTGCTACTACTACTACTACTACTACTACTACTACTACTACTACTACTACTACTACTACTACTGCTACTACTACCAACACTGCTACTACTACTACTACTACTGCTACTACTACCAACACTGCTACTACTACTACTGCTACTACTACCAACACTGCTACTACTACTACTACTACTACTACTACTACTACTACTACTACTACTACTACTACTACTACTACTACTACTACTACTACTACTACTACTACTACTACTACTACTACTACTACTACTACTACTACTACTACTGCTACTACTACTACTACTACTACTACTACTACTACTACTACTACTACTACTGCTACTAATACCAACACTGCTACTACTACTACTGCTACTACTACCAACACTGCTACTACTACTACTACTACTACTACTACTACTACTACTACTACTACTACTGCTACTACTACCAACACTGCTACTACTACTACTACTACTACTACTACTACTACTACTACTACTACTACTACTACTACTACTACTACTACTACTACTACTGCTACTACTACCAACACTGCTACTACTACTACTACTACTACTACTACTACTACTACTACTGCTACTACTACCAACACTGCTACTACTACTACTACTACTGCTACTACTACTGCTACTACTACCAACACTGCTACTACTACTACTACTACTACTACTACTACTACTACTACTGCTACTACTACCAACACTGCTACTACTACTACTACTACTACTACTACTACTACTACTACTACTACTACTACTACTACTACTACTACTACTACTACTACTACTACTACTACTACTACTACTACTACTGCTACTACTACCAACACTGCTACTACTACTACTACTACTACTACTACTACTACTACTACTACTACTACTACTACTACTACTACTACTACTACTACTACTACTACTACTACTACTACTACTACTACTACTACCACTACTACTACTAGTACCACAACTACTATTACTACTACTAATACTAATACTACTACCACTACTACTACTACTACTACTGCTACTACTACTACTACTACTACCAACACTACTACTACTACTGCTACTACTACTACTACTACTACCAACACTACTACTACTACTGCTACTACTACTACTAACACTACTATTATTATTATTATTATTATTATTATTATTACCACTACTACTGCTGCTAATGATGATAATATTACTATTACTAATAATAATAATTACTATTGTATATGAAAATCGATATCAAATGAAAGTATAAAATGAATCTATGTCCTTTAGTCTTCTTTTTTTTTGTTTTTCGTCTTTTTCTTCTACATATTGTTTATTTAATGTAGGGGAATTGTATTTTGATTAGTACATATAGAAAGTTGGTTACTTATATAGAGTTATTTGTTATATCCTGATGAGAATGATGAATAGTAGCTGTTGGAATCTATTTATGGACTAATACTAAATGTATACTTTTATTCTGTGATTGCTAAGTAACTAAACTATTCATATTCGTGTTCCTCTTATCATAAGCTTCATGTTGACCCATAGAGTATTGTTATATGATTTACTATTTTTGAGTTATGTCTGATCTATCAATTACTACGTCTCACATTCCTAGCCACTTTTGACTAGATGTTGTACAAATGTTATTTCCTATTTCGTGATGTGATGTGGTCTATTTGATTTGAGTATAAACCCAATATAATTGAAATACATGATTTATATCTCAGACGGTGAGATTGGTCTTCTGGACTCAACAGGACAGGCAAGGCTAGTTAGGAAGCAAAACCGATAAAGACTGTAGATTGCTCGTACTTGTTTTATGCGTCATTGGTTCGGTCGATAATTCACTATTCTCTATTTGGCGATATTATTACGTTATAAATATTGATAGGGGCATAAAGCCACAGGTTATAACAGTAATCTCTGTTCACTTAGTTACTACAGACAATACAATAACATTTATTTTCTATAAACTGTTAGTTAATCTCATGAAAATATTCTTCATCAATGTAAATGTAAATATTTGAGTTAAATATTTGTCAACATTTTAAAATGTAACGTTTATTATTGATGAATTTACATTATAGACAGTGATCATATAATCGAGGGTAAATATGTGTGTGAGTGATTGAGTGAATGTGTTTCCTTACATTAGACATGAATCTCACATGGTTAACCTTATAGATGAACCTGTCAAATAATAGTATGTAATCAATCAATAATAGATAGATAGATGTGTGGATAGACAGATAGATAGATAGATAGGGGGGTGTAGCTCAGTGGTAGCGCGCTCGCTTAGCATGCAAGAGGGACCGGGATCGATGCCCGGCACTTCCACATCGTAACAACCAGCAGCCTCCAAATGCCGTGGTATGGCCCTTCCTCTCGAAATGCTCTCACACGGCCACTCGTATACAGCCTCTGCCATGGAAGTCCTACTCACTGCCTTCTCGTGGCGAGGGTGTTGTTTACGAAAATGAGAGGACGAAAAGCGAATGTCCGGCGCTTTAACCGGACCCTAAACCAATAGTGCACATGGGCCCCACGATCCTAAAGGGACAAATCACGTATGAACCAATTTTCAGTCACCGGGTAATATGGGACTGCATCTCCTCACGATGCTCCATTGCCTTGTGGGTTAGACCTTTAGGTCGAAGGCTCGGGGAGTGGACCCCTAAGAAAACCACCTGCTTCGGTCTGGGCACCCGGGCAGTATCACAGCCCCCACACACACACAAATATGGTGTGGCGCATATCTATTTGGTGCCCTCTTGTACCAATATTTATGTGTTGAAATAAATAAATAAAAGATAGATAGATAGATCAGTAATAGTGTAGTATTGTTTGTTAGATTTAAGAAGTTCTATATGAATATTAACAATAATACCAATTTCATGTATTATAACACCATTTATATTATTTTATTGTTATCTTTACGGCAGAAAGAACGATTACAACAATATCAATCCGATTTGTTATCTCTTTTTGTTTACATTCAAAAAAACAAAAAAAAATCGTATTTTGTTTTACATCATTTTATGTGATTACAATCATCATTACATCATTTATAAACACACACACACACACACCAGAGACATACATACGCACATACGTACATCCATGCATACATACATACCGACATATATATTTATCCATATAGAAACACAAAATGAATGTATCATCAAATATTGGAATGTATCATTGAATTCCTTCCGAGAGAAATTATATTTTGTTACTAAGATCAAATATTTTTTTTTCATTTTTTTCATAAAAATTTTTGTTACTATGATGATTATGATTTTCATTCTTGTTATAATTTATAATGCCAAATATAGTTTAGTTGTCATCTAACAACAATAATAATAATAATAATAATAATAATACATATTCAAATAGAATATCATACATGTATTATTATTATTTTATTGAGTTTCTAATGTTTGTACATAGATATTACAATGGATGTTAAGTAAATAAGTGAATCAATGTCTGGATCTATCTACCTATCCATCCATCTATCCATCTATCTATCTCTCTTTATACACATATATATATATATATATATATATATATATATATATATATATATATATATATATATATATATATATATAGAACAACATGGTATCTAAATGAATATGTATCATTCATAAATACCTATTTATCTGTTACGGAATGATCCTTTTATAGAAAAAAACTCATTTAAGTAATATATTTAAGTAATAATATTCAATTAACTTTTATTAATTTAAACAAACAAACAAAAAGAAAAACAAAACAAAAGAAAAAAAGAAAAGAAAACAAATCAATTTTCAATTATTCAATTATTTATTGTTTTATTTATTTACTTTTAAATAAACAAAAAAAAACAAAAAGAAAAGAAAAGAAAAAATATTTTTTATAAATATGGATTCGAGTTCTGATGGTAAGTTAATTAATTTTTTTTAAAATTTTTTTTCTTTATAATAAAAAAATTTTATTATTTTGAAATAGATAGAGTTTTTATTTCTGTTTTATTATAAAAAAAAATTGAAGTTAGATAGTGACACTCGTTGGATATTGGATGACTTAATGATCTAGAGGTTAAGTGCTAGATTGTGAGACTAATCGGTTCTGGGTTCGAATCTCATGAGGTAGGATCATGAATGTACACTGATGAGAAGTTTCACAGTAGAACGTAACGACCGTTTAGTACTTCCAGATTTTCTATAGTGGTCTACTTTCGATTAACTCATGATTTGAACTATTAAATTACTATAATATCCATAAAAATATTCCTTCTGATATTAATCAATATATGCTCAGTAGTGACTAGCTTCATAAGGTATTTCCTGAAGATCTAGTGAGAAGCAGTGACCAGTAAATTTTAATCATATCTGTTGTGATATAGTAACTCACTGATGACAATGGTGGATATGTCATTGGATTTCGTGTATTTGTTAAAGTTAGACATTAACACCGTTGGATGTCGGCAGTGTTAGTGGTCTAGAGGTTAATTGTTCATCCGTGAGACGGATAGATTCTGGGTTTGAATCCCATGAGGCATGATCATGAATACGCACTGTTGAGGTGTCCCAAAACAGGATGAAACGGTCATTCAGTGCTTCCACATAATCCCGCTCAAATTATCTAAGAATTTTATTTGATAAGAAAATGTAAAACATTTTAACTAAAATTAAAAATCGATTAATGGTTAGATCATCATGGAATTCCATACTACTCTACATCCATTATCTCATATGTAGGATTCGAACTTTGAACTGTCGGTTTCATGTGAAAACAATTAAACTCTAGAATTTTTCACTGTAAAGAATAAATCAATTTGACATTCTGCCCTGCAAGATAATACATTCTACTCATGAAGTTATTGTTTAATATTCAATATAAAATGTAATAACAGTTTTAACTTTTTCTTATAGCTTTTCATCATGGCTCTACACATATATGATTATGATATAAGTATAATTTACATTAATGGAATAATACTCATTGAGTGGATAAGTTGCTTACTTGCTTACTTACTGATGCCTGTTACTCCCAATGGAGCATGAGCTGTTGACCACCATTCTCCAACCCACTCTGTCTTGGATCTTCCTTCCCAGTTCTATTCAATTTTTTGTTTATTCTTCTCATGTCTGTCTCCATTTCTCCGTGAAATCTGTTTTTTTTTTGTCTTGAGGATTCCATGTGAGGACTTGCCTTGTGACACAGTTGGGTACTTTCCTCAATGTGTGTCCTATCCACTTCCAGTGCTTTTTCCTTATTTCCTCCTCCACTGGAATCTGGTTTGTTCTCTCCCACAGTACGTTGTTGTTGATAGTGTCTGGTCAACGGATCTGAAGTATTTAGCATCGACAGTTGTTAATAAACGTTACGTAAAAATTATGTAGTGACATATCGATTATGAATTAACATTGAATAATTGGAAGAAAGAGGATTTCTAGTAATCAAAGTAGTTGCTATGTTTCATAATATATAAAAAAGAGAAGAGGGGACTAACAAAATACTTTGATGAATAGTCAATAGTATAATAGTTATGTAAGAATCATGAGACGAATGTTGAGAATAAATAAAATACAAAGTTACAAAAATGGAAGAAGTACGAAAATAGTTTATCAAAGTTCTACTACAAACTCCCATATTATACCGATGGTCAAGGTAGCAGAAATAGGTGTACAAACTTCTTTCGCATGAAAAAGTTAGGTTTTTGAACATGGATTACAATGGCTGGGTCTTTTGCAGAGTGTTATATTAGTGACCATTAATAAAAAATATTTTGTTAGGTCTCTCTTCGCTTTATTATATATTATACAACATAGCAACTGCCTGATTTTCTAATAACTACTTTGATTATTATGAATCGTCTTACTTCCAATTACTCAATGTTAATTTATAATCAATTACGTAATGTATCCACTCGATGAGTATTATTTCATTATTGTAAATCATATAAATATATATATTAGGGTGGAGCCATGATGAAAATCAGTGAAATTACTAAAATCTCCACAAAACCCCTTCTGATAATAATCATCTGTTCACTAATCACTGACTTCAAGAGATATTCCTGGAGTTCTAGTAAGAAGCCGTTACCAGTGGAGTTCAACCAGGTCTGTTGTAAGAAATCAACTCACTGAAGACACTGGTGTACGGTGGTGGAACTTCGTGGACTCGTTGAAGTTACACATTAACACCGTTGGATGCCAGGTCATTGGTCTAGTTAGTTATGCGTTTGACGCGAGATTGATAGTTCCTGTGTTCGAATCGTGGATGCGCACTGCTGAGGAGTTCCATACTAGGACGGAGCGGCCGCCCAATGCTCCCAGGTTTTCCATGGTAGTCTAGCTTCAATTGACTCATGATTTCAATCAGTGGAATTTCTAAAATCTCCACAATAACCCTTTTGACATGTATATATATTAGGGTGGAGCCATGATGAAAAATTAATTGAAAACAACTTTCGTCGTTCGATTCGTTCCTTCTTTGGGAGAGAACAAACCAGCTTCCAGCTGTAAAGGAAATTAGGAAAAGACTTTGGAATTGCATAAAACATACATAGTAGCAATCATCAAACTACATCACAAGGCAAGCTCTAACTTGGAATCCTGAGGTGAAACGGAAAAGAGGAAGACCAAAGAATACACAGCACCGATTATTGGAAGCAGAGATGAAAAGGGTGAATAGCAACTGGAGAGAGCTGGAAAAGAATTGCTCAGGACAGGGTTTGATAGCGAGTGCTGGTAGGCTGCCTATGCTTCTCTACGAGGAGTAGCGGGCGTAAGTAAGTAAGTATAGGGATGTTCATTTAACAAGTCATCAATCAGATGAACACTGAATCCTTTTATCCACTACTAGTCAATACCTATATGTAATCAGAGATTGGTTAATTCCTGGTCACTTCAGATTGTCAACGCCGTTAAATTGGGATACTTTATAATAAAAAAAATAAACTCTAGTTCACAGCATCAGTACTCAATATAATGATTCAAATCTATAAAAAAGACTATAATTCCGAACCTCATTATAAATCAACAATAAAGACGGATGGTAACATTCTATGAAAGTTTTGTTTCATATTATAAACTGATTAAAGTTGTCTAGCTTTTTTCAATGGGCGGCCTATGCTCCGCCACGAAGAGTAACAAGAGTGAGTAAGTGAGCTTTTCTCAACATAAAAAAAATTTCTAAATGACTAATTCATAAGTATTCAAAGTATATAAATTAGTATAGAATTGAAAATTATCGATATAAAATGATTTCAATAGTTTAAATCATGAGTCAATTGATGCTAGACCACTATGGAATATCTGGAAGCTTTGGACAACCGTTTCATCTTATTGTACAACTCCTCCTTGGAATTGGTCATCCACGATCTCGCCTCGCGCGTTTCCAGCATAGGACCTATCAACCTTGCTCGCTAATGCTTAACCTCTAGACTACTGAGCTGGCCGGTATACAATAATGTTAACGTCTAATCTCAACTAATCCACGAAATTCAGCGACACAAAATAATTTGTATACTAGTATGGAATAGATAATCAGTACTTGATCAATACGCGGTATAATAAGTAATTATGTATCTTAAAACGAAAATTCTTCTCTTTTTATAAAGAGATGCACAGTGACAATTCTGTCATATCGTTATAGAATGGAACTATCGAAACCGTTTATTCTCTGTAACATAAAACTGATCACATTTCAATGATTTATATTTCATAAAAGAAATATGAATTAAATTTATTTACATAATATAAGTGGAGTTCGATGTAATTTCAATGTTTTTAACTGACATCATAAATCGATTGATGTTAGACCATCATTGAGAACCTGAAAACATTGTATAGCTGTTTCATCCCAGTATGGGATTCCTCAACAATGCACATTGACTATCCCACACGTTGAATTCAAACAAAGGACCTTCAGGCAATGGAAAATGGTTCTGCAATTTCGTAGATTGGTTGAGGTAAGACATTAACACAGTTTGTTTAGTTGTTTAGAGCTTTAAGTATTTGTCTACAAGGCTAAAGGTCATGGGATTGAATCCCACGTTTAGGATCGTGAGTTTGCACTGCTGAGGAGTCCTATACTAGGACGAAACAAACTTTCAGTGCTTCCAGGTTTTTAATTGTGGTCTAATATTCATCGATTCATTCGCTCAATCAAAAATTATAACAGTTATATTACACTTCTCATATTGTTTGGATTTTTTTTCTCACGTTTTACATTTGACTACATTTTTCGAGACGTAATTTATCTCTCACAAACATTTATAAATTTGTGTCTAATCGAATTGAACTAAAACACAATTTTAGAAATGTTTTGCATGACAGTAAATCAAAATGATGAAGAATATTTTATGGTACCCACCCCCTCCCCCCCGGTAAAAATGGTGTCAAAATCACCCTGAAACACATTATACTTTGGCATGATATCGGTTTCGTAAGCTGAACTATGTGAACATAAGAGAATATCGATGAGTTTATAACAAACAGTACCTTCTGATTACTTACTTACTTACTTACGCATGTTACTCCCAATGGAGCATAGGCCGCCGACCAGCATTCTCCAAACCACTCTGTCCTGAGCCTTCTTTCCTAGTTCTATCCAATTTTTGTTTATTCTTCTCATGTCTGTCTCCATTTCTCAGTTAAATCTGTTTTTTGGTCTTCCTCTTTTCCTTTGGCCTTGAGGATTCCATGTGAGCGCCTGCCTTCTGACTCAGTTGGGTGCTTCCCTCAATATGTGTCCTATCCACTTCCAGTGCGACTTCTTGATTTCTTCCTCCACTGGAATGTAGTTTGTTTTCTCCCAGAGCAGGCTGTTGCTGATTACATGATCCAACTACTGATTAGCCTAGTAATTTTTAGAATATAACCATTCAGATGAAAGAAAATCACATACTGACAAGTGGTGTAATTTAAAATG